TGACGACTTAATCAAAAAACTTACGGATTCAATAGCAATCAAGAGCTTTCTACACATCCCTTTACATCTATGAGCAAAATGGGAAGCAATGAAAGGTATTTCAGCAATCCTTTTGTCATGGATCCTATAAATTAAAACAACATTATATATACATAAAAGCTTCAATATTTGAATTATGTGATATAACATAGTTGAGGTGGGGAAGTGAGATTCTCATTAATATGATAAGAATTTCACATTGTGTAAAGTAACTTCGCATTCTCTTAAACCAAAGAAGAGCATATATATATATATATATATATATATATATATATATATATATGTTCAAATGTTTACATTTTAGAGATTATGTGATTTACTATGAACCAAATTGACACATATATAACAAATATATATATATATATATATATATATATCATGTCTGATGATTATTAATTGCCTTAGAGCTGCAACACAAACTATTTCCCCATTTGTTTCTAAGACAGCGGTGTAGAAGCCTTTGAAGTCAATTCTATTGAAATTTGAACTGCAAAAGTTTAAATGAAACAGAAGGTGTCTATCACTATGTATATGTCAATATATAATGTCATAATTCAAAAATGAAATTTATTTTCTAACTTTAGATTAATGATATATGTTATAGAAATTTCTATAGTGTCTAGCTAATACATACCCACAGTAGCAAATGACGTTTTTGATAACGTTAAATTTTGTGTAGCTATCAATGACTTGTCCGAAAGAATCCTCCATTAATCTCCAGGCAACAGCGAGCTTGGAGTGAAATTGTTCTTTCATAATCTTCATCTATGTACACACCGTGCTGATGATCTAACTGACGGAGTAAAGTCCATGAATACCCTTCTTCCAATTCATTCTTTAATCCTATCAATGTTTTCTCCAGTTTCACAGAAACCTTATTTGCAACAAAAACATAAATTACCAATTAAGTGTGCAGCTATTCCATTTAATTTGTAAACCAAGCACAACAATTCGTTTACACCAATGTGAGTTTTGTGCAGAGAAATTTTAAAATGATGATTCACATATCTATAGATATCAATAATATATTCAAATCAAAAAACAAATGATGGTTATCAATAACGATTTATATAAAAATTCATATCAATTTTACAAACATCAAGTCATTTGCAACATTTCCTGATATATATCCTTTTAAAATAATCAAAAGATTGAAAATTTCACATGAATAAATAATGAAAAGAATCACAAACTTTAAAGACCTATATACTTACTCAAGAATCACCGTCGTCTACTAGATGTGTTAGGGTTTTGCCGGCTAGGAATAGGAGTTGATTGCAGTAACTCCTTTAGTTGTCCGTCTGCGATTTGTCTGTAGTCGTTGAAATAAGAATGAATAAATGGAGAACAGACGAAGACAAATATTTCCTCAAAGGTGTAAAGGCGCGTCCGTTTGAGATTTTTCTATAGTCTTTGAAATAAGAATAAAAAAATGGAGAACTGGCGAAGACAAATATTTCCTCAAAGGTGTAAAGGCGCGTCCGTTTGCGATTTTTCTGTAGTCGTTGAAATAAGAATGAAAAAATGGAGAACAGACAAAGACAAATATTTTCTCAAAGGTGTAAAGGCGCGACGATAATCAAGAAAATGTTATTTAAAACAAATTTTGTACACCTATCTAATTATGTTTAATATTTAGGTAATCGAATTATATTTGTGGGCATGAAAAGTAATACTAAATTTTTCCCTCCTAAATTTTCCTCATGATGCGAAATTAGAGTAAAATTAATTTATTGATTAATTTAGAGTAAAAAATTAATTATTATACAATTGATAGTTATTTACTATATTCATTAGTATCTACTATATATATATATATATGTATGTATATATATATATGTATATATATATATATATATATATATATATATATATATATATATATATATTAGTATTTTCGCACGTGCGTTGCACGGGATGAATTTGTTATTGTTGGTCCCGGTAGAGTTATAGCGAGAGTCTAGAGGGGGGGGGGGGGGGGGGGTGAATAGACTCTTTTCGTGTTTTGCCGAAAAACAACCTTTCGGTGTTTTGGCGCAGCGGAAATGTTACGTTCGTTTACTAGCATTGCACGAGTTGTCGTTATTAGGAAACTTTCGTGAGAGATGATATGATGCAGGAAATAAATAAAGTAAGTGAGAAGATAAGGAGACGAGAGTTTTTGTAGTGGTTCGGCCAACTTTGCCTACTCCACTCTTCTTCCACAACTTATGGAAGGATTGCACTATCACTCGTTAGTACAATTACACAAAGACTTCCTTGATCACTAAGCCGGACAGCCTTCGTAGGTTTTTCAACTTCGCGAGTTTACTCCACCTCTATCAACATCTTCTTCAGAGTTGAGTTTGGTAGAAAATGATTTCTGATTTCTCCAACGTGATGAAGTCTTGACTGATGAGGAATGATTGCTTCGTTCAAGTTGCAAGACTTCTTTAAGGTGTAAGATGAGTATCAATGAACTTCTTCAAGTATCATATTTGCACCTTAACACTGATTCACAAAAGCTTGAGATAGCTGAGAGCATTTAAGAGCTTTTGCTTATAGATAGATCGAGTGATAAGAACCAGCACCTTCTTAGTTGGTGAAGGTGGGTTTATATAGGTGAGGAAAAATTCATCCGTTGGAGGGAGATGAATTTTTAAACCTATTGTCCAGTGGGTAAGGACCGGGGAGCTTCCCGCATTAAATGCTCCATTAATGAGGTTGTACCTTGTAGCCGTTGATGGCATGGAGAGCCTTAGGGTTTTGTCCTTTAGCTTCAGGAAATAGTACATCTTCATTTAATGCTCCTTGGTATGCGTGTCCCACAAGTTGAGGTCCTTTTGTTCCTAGGATGTTGTCAAGTCAGACAGTGGAGACATTCTTCTTGCTATTGATGAGAAGGAATGTCTTGAAGGATTGTCATCAATAATATTGTCCTTTCGTGCTAAGTGACAACTCCTGGTAAACTCTCGTTGCACTTGCTTCATGCTTCGTGTCTTCTTTCGTCTTGATGACCCTAACAACTAAGCATAACTCGTCTTCGTGTGTTTGACTAGCTTAACACGAATTACATGTGAGTTATGATAACTTTCGTCTAGGACGAAAGTGGCGATTGAAAGTAATAACGGTTAGGGGTCTACTTTCTAGGCTACATTGGTATCATCAAAATCCTAATACAAGTGTTCCTAACAATTTCCCTCTTTTTGATGATGCCAAAACCTATACTCTTCTTATAAGGCTAATAAAAGGTTCCATAACGGATTTTCTATTACAAGTCAGCCATACTCGAGAGTTTACAAGTCTTTTCTAGATAAATGCAAATAACAAGTAAGACAAAGACAAGTAACTCAGACAAGTGACACGAGATGTGTAACAACGAGTACTTTATATAAAGAGAAAGATCATTACAAAAGCTTTTTAAGAAAGACATAAAGAAGAGCATCTTACAGATCTAGAAGATTCGACTTCTGTAGCTTAGCTTCTTTTCGTTCACGAATGTCCCTTACCTCTTGCTGTTTGAGCATTCTGTCGGTGTCGATCTCCTTGTTGATTCGTTCTCTAAAGATCTTGATTGGATTTGTCTTGACTAGATCTTCGTATTTTCCTCGAATGTTGAGACTTATGTAATTGTTGTAAGCCTCGCGAATGTTTTCTCCTGCAATTACTCCAGCCTTCCACCATGAGATAAGTTCGAAGGAATTCATTCCTTCTCTGTAGCTTTTTCCAGACTCGGCATGCACTTTGAAAGCTGCATTGTAGATTACGCCATGCTTAGAGTGTTTGGTTACTTTCGTGAGATCTTCAATAAGCTTCTTTACTCTCTCTCTTTCCTCCAGTTCATGCTCTCTCTTTCGGGCTTCTTCTTCGTGTTTCTCCCATAGTTCTCTGTTTTGTCTCTTGATTCTTTCGTTTTGGGTGCTTATGAGATGTTGTCTAGTGTGATTGTCTTTTGTCTTCAGCCAGATAGGGACATTGCAACCCTCAAAACGTTTTCCACTGCCTTCTTCATAAGGTCTGTACTCCACAAAGTTTCCTACGCCATCCATAGTTACCTTGCTGTTCTTCATGAGTTTCTGCCTTAGGTTCGTCTTTTCTCTCTTGGAGAGCCCAGTGAATGCAAATTTTGATTCAGAACCATAAGATTGACGGGGCTTGAAGGACTGTGATCTGGGTTGAGAATGACCACGATTTGAATAATGTCTTGACTGGGAAGGATGGTGACCATGAGACTTGGATGGAGGATTTGATGGTTTTGTACTTCTTTGCCCAGAGTCTCTTGGTGCATGAGATGGAGATTGTTCTCTCGTGTTGTCCCTCGGATGATCGTCATCCTTATCATCATGATTCCGCTTTTCCCCCTTTTTGGCATCATCGGCACACGTGGTAGGAGGAATGGTGGAAAGTTTATTAACTGCATTCAGAATGTCTTGAGCATACCCAAGAATTTGAAGAGCATGCTGTCCCAGTTGGTATGTATTATCTTGTGAAGTCTCTATCTTTGAGCAAGCTAAGTCAACACGCTCTTTGAGGCTGAAGTGAGAGTGCTTAAGTTCGTGCTGTTGATGAGCCACTTTGTTGACAGCGGTATGAAGTTCATGGAGTTCCGTAGCCAATTGCTTGTTGAATTGCTGGTCAGGATTAACTTGCGGTGGAGGTTGAGATGGTTCTTGTGGTGGCGGACGAGATTGAGCTTGGGCAACCATCAACTGATCCACCTTCTTGGATAAGTTTTCCAGAACTTTGGTGTCTCTTTGCCGAAGGGTCAAGTATTGTTGATGTGTAAATTCGGCAGCATGAACTGTATCCCTCAAGAGGTTCATGACTTTTCGTGGGGACACCGAAGGAGAGTCATCTTCAATATTGGTTTGTGGGGTTTCCACCTGGTCTTCTTGAAGTGGTGCATCCTTTTTGCCACCACTAGCTGAGCTAAGAAGGATTGGTGAGGCTTCCAGTTTGCCCTCACGTACGACTGCTTCCTCTCATTTTATCGGAGTCTCGTCCATGGGTTGAACATGTGGGACGAGAGCTCGAGACATATCCTCAGGATGATCAGTTGAAATGTCTTCATCTTGGTGTGATGCTTCCCTTGTGTCATCACTGTTGGGTGATTTTTGAGCTGGAGATCTTTCGGGAACAGTGTCGTAATCAGGACCGACCAAGAGAGGAGATTCACTGTCATAAGTCGGGTCAGCCCCATTATCGCCGTCATTACCCGAATCATCATTGTCATCATCATCATCATCGTTCTCATCATCTGCATCCTCGACATCGTCAGTTTTGCCTTCATCTTTTTCATTACTTTTTTCATCTTCTTCTTCGGCCGTATCAATCTCTCGGCCTTGCTCATCTTTCAAGCCACTGACGTTGCAGTTAGGACCATTTTGATGTTCTTTTTCCAGGATGGTTTTGACTTTAGATATCAATATGGCATAACGAACCATCTTCATTTCTTCTTCAAATGCTGGGTCCAATGGAGGTTTGTTGAGTTTAATGCAAATCGGAGCTTTATCCTTTCCGAGAGTGCGATTGGTCATTTTGTAAGAAAACACTCGTCTTATCGTTTCAAGACGCAGTGCTTCATTGACATCCTTCGTGCCAATCCACTCTAGAGCAAACTTTTCTTCATCTTTCATGGCTTCAAAAGTTTCGATGAACGTGTCCAGGGGGGCTGTGTGCCATTTTTGCCACTGCAACACTCGGTTGTAGTCATTTTCAATAGACTCACGAAGCAATTGATTTGGAGATGGAGGAATGGGTGCAACAACTGGTGGTGTGATCACCACTTCTGGTGGGATCTCTCGATTTCCCTTAGCTACCAGTGCAGGTTCTTGTGTCAGAGTATCTGGTACCTGCTCTGCAAAGGTAGGTTCTTGTGGAAGAGACGGAACTTCAGTCAATTCAGCAGCCACTTCTTTCATCTTTGCTGGCAAGCAAGGTTCTTGTGGAATACTTAAGTGACTAGCCTCCGTGTCCATAGCAGCAGGTTCTTATGTCGAACTTTGAATATTTCGCTCTGCTGAAATGGGTTCTTGTGGATGAAGGACTTGAGGAGAACTGTGGCCAAGGTTTGGCGCTTGTTGTTCAGAAGGTTTTTCTGGAGAGGTTTCTTTCGGCTGACCTTCCCCCAGAGAAGGTGCTTTTCACGTATCTTTTTCCCCCCCTAAGAGAATGCTTCTCTCGATGTGTCGTCTTCCTTTGGGGAGAGAGTTGAGCCAAATTTCGTTTTGATAGGAGAACGAAAACGTCCCGTTTTTCCAAGGTTCGACATAGCCAAATTGTCTTCATCAGATGAGTCTTCGACAACAATTGTGTCTGGAGGAGGAATAGGTGAGGTAGGAATTTTCTTTTCTGTGGAAGGTTTTGGAGATGTGGGAGTGGGTGTACTGACAACTTCCTTTCTCGACTCAACCCAAGAAGAGCGCTTTTCCTTCTTTTGCCTTTTCGGTTTTGGTTTGTCATCTTCTGATTCTTTCGGCGTCCTTGATTTTCGTTTGGATTTCACCAATTCCAAAGGGATTCCCAGCTCCAAGGCTTTCTGTTTGTCATAACCGGAGGGCTTCTGCTTCATATGGCAGGCTTTTGGTCCTGGCCGAATTCCTGGTCTCATAAGGACATCCTTTGTGATAAGTAGGTGACTAACCAAGAATCCATAACCTAGTTTCTTTTTGATGTCACCAGGACTTTTTCTGTTGAAGGTGATGGTATGAACAAGGTTGTTGAAGATAACTTTCGACCAGTCGACTGTGTGTTTGTGGAGGAATGCATGCAGCATTTTGAGTTTCTCCTTTGTGACATCATTTGTTCTAGACATTTTGTGATCTACGATCTTATTGAAGATGTCCACAGTGAATTCATAGTTCAGACGAAACCACTTCTTCTTTAAAGGCCATGTAATCTCCGTTTTCAAGGGTGCATGGTTGTTCTTGATGGTATCATAAAACTCACTAGGGTCATAGTGGTAGAAAGAGAGGTTGGGTGCGTATGTCTCATCCCTCTGAGGAAAATCATATGCAGCTCGTATGTCCTCTGATGTCATAACCACTTGATGATTGTGAACTCTAGATGTGATGGTTAGAGAGTCGGAGGAGACAGTTGCATTCATATAAAATTGAGCAACATCAGTAGGATACCATAAAGTATAGAGATGAGTAATAAACCTGTATAGTCCAATTTCTGTAAGCAGATTGATGATGTTTTCTCTAAACTCGCGATCAAGAGCATATTCGAGAAACCCATAAGAATCCCACATGCTTCCTCTGACTATAAGCGGAGCCCTAGATTCGATAAATCGTATATCTTCCGTAGGGAAGGAGGGAATTTCCAAGGTGGTTGGGGTTGCTGGTTCTGTATCGGAGGGGGTAACTTGGGATTTCTCTGCCATTCTGAAGTGTTGAAGGAATACAAGTATAACAGTATGGTTTGGAGACAGAGGATGAATGAAAGAAGTGAAGTATGGAGAGGAGAGGGTTTATGTAGGGTTTCACTTGTTTCTGGGTATTCAAATACGGGTTAACCCATTTTTGGGGTGGATGGTTTGAATTTCAAATTTTCAACCGGTTCCACTTCTTCAAAAGGTAACTGATCTGATTATAGGAGACTGATAAGATCATGCTCAGATCAGTTTTGATCATTCCATATTAAATGTGGAGAGAGAATTCCACTTAAGTGCCTGTACGAGCATTAAATGCCCATCAATTCATCTGTCAGTCATCGTGGGGTAGTGGACCATTTTCTTTGGCCACACGATCCCCATGATGAAACTTGTAAACGGTTCAGATGATTCATATATTTTGAAGCTTCTTAAGTACGACTGAAAACCGAAACAAGATGCTTTTTACTAGACGAAAGGTCCATTAGACAAATAAAGTCAAATGAACACAACATACAACGAAACTTCATGAGATAACCCGAGAGATGTCTTATTACACGAGACAAAGATTTCGAGCACTGTCACTGCATCTCTCGTTGTTCATGTCAGCACCAGACTTTACTTCTTGCCATTCTTCTTTTGTTGGGCATAATCAAGGTATTCCTTCTTGCGAACCTCAAAAGCGAATACTTCTCCCACGATTATCTCATGATCGGTGCCCATAGCATCTCTTGAAAGACCTTGTCTTTCCATGTCATCCAGTTCGGCCTTTACACGAGCCTCAGCAGCAGCACAAGTAGCCATGTATTCGTCATCAGTTTTGAGGTGAGGTGCAAGCTTTACAAGCGTGAGAAACTCAGATAGGCTTGAGACCTTGGTGGATCCATCAACTGAAGATAAACCCTCCAGCAGTGAATTCTCTGGTTCATGGCGAGAAGCATTCTTGGATTTAGCTTTTCTAGACAGACTTTCGGTTGTGAGAGCCATTGCTTTTCCCTTGTCCATGGTGATATCAGTTGAGAAGAGTGAAACCATATTTCTCGAGATAGTCCCTTATAAAGAGTGTGAGATTTCATCAAAAGATGTGACCCGAATGACTAGCCATGAATACAGATAGCATGCGTGAAGGAATATATGCATTTCCAATAAAGAGAGTCCGGTCATAGAGATTCCATTGTAGGTGTGAACAGAAACAAATAAAGTTTCGTTCATCACTCGATTAAGATTAAGCTCAAAACAGTGAAAGCAGGATTTTATTATTCAACCAAACGAGATAGACAGATACAGAAAACAAGATACATAATCCACAAGATTAGTTTTTCTTCCTCTCGTTTGCTTTCTCCTCATGAGTCTCAGCTTTCGGCTTTTTCAGATCAGCCCACATGCGTTTGTACCATTTTCCGGTACGCAGATAGTTGGAGCCCGTCGACGAAGTGGGTTCTTCCTTGCTCTCAGATTTGATATCTTCATTGAGATATTTGACATAATCTTCGTCATGATACTTGTTAGGCGGATCAGCAGGACTCATTTCTTGTTGAGGAACTTTTTCTTCAGGAGGGTCTTCCTCGGGCTCCTCGACAATGAAGCCAGCCATATCATCATACAGAGATGATGTTTCAGTATCAGATGAGATCTCTACGGGTGCTTGAAGGCTATTGCCTGGATACATGTCTCCCTATTCTTCTCTCATTTTCCTGGCGAGTTCTCTTTGTTTGTGAGAATCTCCCTTGTAAAAGGTTTTTTAGGAGCCATTTGTGAAGATGAGAATGGTAGAGAAGAGTGAGATATGTCCCCCGTTTTATAGATAGATTTTGAAGAGATAACGATGTGAAACTACCCACAGCATTCAATGCTGTAATTAATGACCATGTATTTCTTCAACTGACCATTAATGGCGTAGAAGACTTTGAATGGATATTTTCAGGAATATCATAATTTCAGGGTCAGTGAGATGATTCCAAGGTATGTAAATATCAGGTAGTCAGAGATTCATGGCAAAAAATCTTCATTAATTAAAAACACGAGACATGGATGAACAGAAATACATAATTCAAGGATGATTATTGAACACATAACAATGAAACTTTCATTTCTTTCCCTTTCCTTTCTTCGTGTTACTGGTTTTGCCCTTGGTGACCTTAGAAACTTTCTTTGATGTAGGGGCTTTTAAACGCGGTGGTTCACCGTCAGGATGCATTTCCTCATCAGATTCTCCTTCAATATACCCCACAAGTTCAGATTTGCAATCATAATGTCTATAGAAGTCCCTAAGATCTCTGTCCATAGTGAGATCGTTCCAGGATTCCAGTGTCAAGAAGCATTTTCTTACAATCAGAGGGGGTTCCTCATTGGGATCAAAAGATCTGGCATCTCCATCAGCATCTCTTTTGATGAATTCATCAAAATCCTCACTTTCCGAGTCGGATGAAATATTCAGAGGATTGATAGGATTATTTCCGGGATTATGATTGCCTTGTTCACCCTCTTCTGGATGAGCTCGGGTTCTTCTTGATACTTTCTTGGTGATTAAGACTTTGGGAACCATTTGAGAAGGGAGGGATGCATTTGAGCAAAACCAATGTCCTCCTTTTATAGCAATTCAAGATGAGAATAAATGTTTTATCCAACGGTTAACCATTAGGAGAGCATGTGGTTCCTCTAGAGCCAATTAGCATTTAGATTTATGCATTTATTGTCATTTTTGAGACAATTGAGAGATAATGCTTTATGACATAATTCCATCTTTGACCCGAAAGTGATAGTCTAACATTTAAGATTCAAGGTCAAGAGAGCAATTAGTAACATCAAAAAACGCAGATAATTTCATTGAAAGGAATCGTGCATAGATACTCCAAGCCATACAAATAAAAACAAACATAATTCAAAGAAAACGATAAGGTACGTGAAGCTCCAGACGAGTCAACTCATCAGTCACGTCAGACACATTTGTCTTGTTTGCATACTCGTCCAGTTCCTCTAGAGAGAGAGTGGGCGTAGTTGGGTTAGTTGGTGACTGAGAGTGAACTAGATTGAAGTCTTCATAAGACTTTTCACTCTTTTGTGGAGCCTCAGTAACTGGGTACCAATGAAAGGTGTTTGGATGAGAAGAGTGTTTGTTAGCATTGATCAAAGCCATCTTCCTTTCGTTAGCCAGTTGTTTTGCCTATGCTAGACATTGTCTTTTGTGGCCAGAGATTCGTTGACAACTTTGTCCTGAATTTTCCTTTCTCTCGGGGTGGCCGAGTTTGGCATGGTGAACGTTACGTGGACCCTATCACCATCTTCCACTATCTTCGTTATTGTGGCACTTGTCAGTTTGCCTGTTTCTCGAAGATGATGATCACGTCGAATAGCTCGAGCCTCAGCTTCGTCCATCTTTCCTTTACCCTTATCCATACCTACAAACTTTTCTTACTAAAGAACTGAATGTGTGAGTAAAGTTTATGAAGAGAGATTCCAATTTATAGGCACAAGTGTTGCGTGCAAATCTTATTATAATATTTTGGATACTGATGCCTCATTTCGTGTTAAAGACATTATCAGAAGATTCGTGAGAGACGAGAAATTGAAATGATTCATTTAAGAAACGAAATATATTTAAAGATAACAAAAGCACAGCTTATCATTATGGCCCAATGAGATTTTCAGGCCTTTTTCTTCTTGCTGCTAGCTGTGGATTTGAGAGGAGATGGCATTTTTGGAGGAGTGCTTGATGGTGAATAGTTAAAACTATCACTCCGTTCCAACACGCTATCTTCCTTTGCATACCCTATGGTATTGCCGACGGAGTGAAATGATTCTCTTGATTCATTTTCCGTTGGATCTCGTAGAATGTTTTGTATGTGCTGAGAGTATGCACGGAATTTGTTCAGATCCTCCTCATTCACTAGTGGGTCATGGAAGATTTCGGTTTCTTCCTTTCTTGTCTCAATGATCGTTGTCTTTGTTTCACTTCCTGTACTCATATCTGCAAACACAAAGACAAAAACTGGATTTCTTGTTAATTATGAGAATCTGATGATAACATGTACCTCTTTTTATAGAGACCTTGCGTGTGATAAAGATTCAAATCTTTTGGGTAGAGCATCGAGGAATATTATGAGAATCTTTGCAGATTTGATTCTCAAGGCTTTATGTCATCTCAATCATTCCTATTTCATGCCTTAGAGTAGAGAACCTCGCCTCACTTAAGGGTTTCATGAGTATGTCCGCAAGTTGATCATTAGTGTTGACATACTCAAGAGATATGTCCTTTCTTTCTACATGATCACGAATGAAATGATATTTGATATCGATATGCTTAGTTCATGAATTTAAGACAGGATTATGTGTGATAGCAATTGCACTCTTGTTATCGAACTTAATGCTCACTTCTCGTGCATTTATGCCATAATCCTTCAATTGATGTGTCATCCATAAAATTTGAGCACAACAGCTTCCAGCTGCTATGTATTCGGCTTCAGCCGTACTGGTAGCAATAGAATGTTGTTTCTTGCTAAACCATGACACAAGTCTTCCCCCTAGGAACTGGCAAGTTCCTGAGGTACTTTTTCTATCAATTCGGCATCCTGCAAAGTCGGCATCCGAATAGCCAACAAGATCAAAATATCCTTCTTTCGGGTACCAAAGTCTGACACTTTGCGTCCCTTTAAGATATCTTAAGATCTTTTTAGTTGCACTCAAGTGACTTTCTTTCGGTTTAGCTTGAAATCTTGCACATACACCAACAACAAACGAAATGTCAGGTCTGCTTGCTGTTAGGTATAGAAGAGATCCAATTATACCACGAAAGTTTTTCTGGTCCACATCTTTTCCTTCGTTATCAATGTCCATTCTAAGGGATGTGCTCATAGGGATTTTGACAGATTTTTTTCCATCAATCCCAAATTTTCGGATTAAATCCTTGGTATATTTGGCTTGACTAATGAAAATTCCATCTGAGCATTGCTTTACTTGCAATCCCAGAAAATAGTTTTGTTCTCCCATCATGCTCATTTCAAATTTACCTTGCATAAGGTTTGAGAACTTCTCAGATAAGTTAGGGTTCGTGCTCCCGAAGATGATGTCATCAACATAGATTTGTACTAAAAGAATATGGTCATCATCTTTTATACGAAAGAGTGTCTTGTCTACAGCCCCTTTCGTGAAACCACAATTGATAAGAAAGTGTGAGAGTGTATCATACCAAGCTCGTGGAGCTTGTTTTAATCCATAAAGAGCCTTTTTGAGATGATAGACTTTTTCATGTTCATTGTTAACCGCGAAACCAGGCGGTTGCTCAACATATACTTTTTCTTCAAGAAGCCCATTTAAGAATGCATTTTTGATATCCATTTGATAGACTTTAAAGTCTTTGTAAGCTGCAAAGGCTAGGAATATTCGTATGGCTTCAAGTCTAGCTACGGGGGCGAAGGTTTCATCAAAATCGATTCCTTCTTCTTGACAATACCCCTTAGCAACAAGACGGGCTTTGTTCCTAACAATGAGCCCATCTTCACTCATTTTGTTTCTAAAAACCCATTTAGTTCCAATAACATTCGGATGTGTTGGTCTCGACACAAATTCCCACACATCATTTCGTTCAAACTGATGAAGCTCTTCTTGCATGGCTATTACCCAGTCAGGATCACTTAAGGCTTCTTCTATGGACTTGGGTTCTATTTGTGATAAGAAACAAGCCATCATATTTTCGTGCAGAGCGGCTCTTGTTCGTACACCTTCTTGAACATTTCCAATCACTTGATCCAGAGGATGATCTCTTAACCATCTAAGATCGGGTTCAAGAATATTTTGCTGATTTTGTGCATCCATTTCAGGAATACAAGGAAGCTAAACGTAGATCATAGGTTCGGATGGTGCTTGAACATCTGGAGTGTCTTGTTGTACGTTGACATTTTCTTGTGTTGAGGTTTCGGTCTCAGAGATCTTCAACTGATATTTCGTGTAGGAAGTTAATATTTTCTTCATCATCTGAAACCTCTTCTTCATTTGATTGAGGGTTTTGATGTGGATTACTTGATGATTCAATACCAGCTGGATTTTTCTCAGATAGCTCATCGAATTTGACATGAATAGATTCCTCAATTACCATCGTTCGTTTATTTAGGACTCTAAAGGCCTTGCTTACTAAGGAATAACCCATGAACAATCCTTCATCTGCTCTTTCGTCAAAAGCTCTCAAATGATTCTTTCCATTGTTGTGAATAAAGCACCTGCAACCAAAGACATGGAAATAGCCAATACTTGGTACTTTACCTTTCCATAGTTCATATGGGGTTTTGTTGTAGGATTTGTTGATTAAGGATCTGTTTTGTGTATAGCATGCTATGTTTATGGATTCAGCCCAAAACGCTTTGGTAGGCCTGAATGTGCGATCATAGTTCGTGCTGCTTCTTTCAGTGTTCTGTTTCTCCTTTCGGCTACTCCGTTTTGTTGAGGAGTTCGTGCTACCGAGAGTTGATGAAAGATTCCATTCTATGCACAGAATTCTTTTATGATCTTGTTTACAAACTCAGTTCCTTGGTCTGATCTTATCCGAATGATTTTGACTTCTTTTTCTGTCTGAAGTTGCCTCAAGAGATTGGGGAGAACGACTTCTGTTTCGTTCTTTTTCTTCAAGAAAAGCACCCAAGTATATCTCGTGTGATCATCTACTATGACGAGAGTATACTTTCTTCCACTTAGACTTGCTGGATCAACTGGTCCGAAGAGATCCATGTGTAGAAGACTTAATGAACGAGAGTTTGCATCCACATCTTTGGACTTGAAGGATGATTTGATTTGTTTTCCCTTTTGACACGCTTCACAAATTTTGTCTTTTATGTAGGATGCTTCAGGTAGTCCCCTCACAAGATTTTTCTTCGCAAGTTTGTTGATTGTTTTCAGATTTAGATGACTCAACTTGTTGTGCCATTCTTGACTGAGATCTGCATTGCTTTTAGCCACAAAACAAACGTTAGCATTAGAAGAATTCCACGATATTACGTACATGTTTTTCTTTCGTTGACCAGTTAACGCGATTTTGCCATCCTTCGTGTTCACGATTTTACACTCGTTTTTGGAGAATTCGACTTTGTACCCTTTGTCGAAAAATTGGCTTGTGCTTAGGAGATTGAACTTTAGTCCATCAACATATGATACATCTTGTATGGTTATTCCCTGTTTGATGATGTCTCCTTTTCCACGAGTCTTGCCACTGTTTTCTCCTCCAAATATGACTTTAGGTCCATCGACTTCCTTGAAATTGCTCAACATTGTTTTGTCACTAGTCATATGTCTTGAGCACCCACTATCGACATACCATATGACTTGTTTGTCCTGCAAGAAAGATTATGTGTTGTTAGGTACCCATTGAGTTTCGGGTCCTTGAGGGTTAGATGTCAGCTTTGGAATCCACATGAACCTAGAGTTTCCTCGACTCATCCTCGGTCCCCTATACCCATTAGATGTGCGGTAATCATAATGGATACTGGCAAAGGTTTTAGCATTATATCTCTCGCGAAAATATTCTTGAGGAGGATTTTCATAATACTTGAGATGATTGTTTTGTTTATGCAGATGAATTATCTCAAATTCAGCTCTTGATAGAGGTTCTGGGTAATCAAACCAATCTTCCTCTGATGGCCGAGTCCATCCATTGCCATAACCAGATCTTTTGAAGGATCTTTCGTTTGGTCTGACTCGTCCATTTCTCGAGTTTCCTTGATCAGGATTCTTTCGTGTTGGCTTTGGACGATATTGCCTCCGGTCAACATTCGACCTTTTCCTTGATTGAATATTCTTATTAGGCTGACCTTTCTTATGGTTTAGATTTTGTCTATTGCCATTTGGTCCATTCCTTTTGACATATTTTTGTTTAGGATTGCCTTTGTAAGATCTTTCATTTCGAGGGTCCACAATTCGTTGTACAGCCTTTCCTTTCGGTAGGCTTGTTCATTGTGGTGTGGCGACATTGTTAACTTTTGTCATAGGCTCAGACACCTGGGTTCGACCTTGAAAAAATGCAGCTTGAAAGCTTTCGTGAGAATAAGCCTTCGTGGATTTGTTCAAGCCGACTTGTGAAGAGGAGCTGGGGTCAAAACCAATTCCCGTACTTTCCCCGGGCAGTCTAGATTCATTTATCATTCGGTCCATTAAATTGGACGAATTATTGAATTTATCTAAGACTTCAAGGAGTTCTTGCTCTCTCTTTTCTCTTGCTGTGCACTGCTCCTTTAGAGCGAGAACATTTTCCTCAAGTTGCTTCTTAGCAATGGCTAGCATTATGTTCTCAACTCGAACTTGCCTTAGAGCATTATAGCTAATCATAAGCCGAGAGTTCTCCTCCTTAAGCTTGGAGTATGTGCTTTTGATCACTTTGAGCTCCCTCATCATTTCGGTAATGGATTCATTGGAAGTTTGACTCCCTACAGAACTGGACTCTGCTGAATAACAAGAAGATGATTGAGAATTTACCTCATCCTCGTCAACCATAAGGCATAGATCTTCTGATTCTTGGCTGAACAGGCATAGCAATCCCTTTTCCTCTTCTGTGCTTTCATCGTCTGAACTTGAGCTTGAGGAACTACTTTCGGCCTCAACAGTGTCAGGAGTTTCGTTCACTACCATAGCCTTTCTTCTTCTTTCGTTTCTGGAGCTTGATGATTCAGGCTTGTCATTTCTTTTGTATCTCTCTCCAGTCTCCTTGGATGGGCTTTTGGTAGCGTTGCTATCTTGATGTTTGCTTACTATTGGATGAGGACAGTTAGCCTTGAAGTGTCCTGGTTTCCGACAGTTGTAGCACAGCAATTGCGAGTCTGAAGTTTCTGGCTTTGAGGTTTGAGGTGAGCTTTCGTGTTGCTTTCGGTGGCCCGAACGATGTGAGTCTTGAAAATTGTTCTTCCTCATGAACCTCTTCATCTTCCTAACAAATAGGGCATACTGTTCATCAGATAAGAATTCACAAGAGTTAGATTTTGACCTGTTAGATGTTGTTGCTTGTTGGTTGGCCACGAGAGCTACATTTCTCGTTTCTGATTCTTCGACATCTTTCGGTTCATGTTCAAACTCGTATGCCTTAAGATCACTGAAAATCTTGGCTGTGCTCGTCGTTTTCATGTCTCGGTTGTCTCTCATTGCAATGACCTTCATTTCCCAAGACTTTGCCAGACCACGAAGAATCTTCAAATTCTTTTCTTTCTCAATCAGTTCCTTCCCGAGATCTGACAGATCTCCCATGAGTCTGGTGAACCTCAGTTCCATGTCCATGATCGTTTCATTTGGCAACATTTTGAAGTCTTCAAACTTCTTCATAGCCACAGTCAGTTTGTTATCCTTCTCCTGTTCATCACCTTCTCCCAGATTCATCAGAACGTTCCATATTTCCACGGCATTCTTGCATTTTCGGACTCTGGGGAACAAAGAATTGTCAAGGGAGTTGTAGAGGATGTTTCGTGCTACATTGTCCAGGTTTTCCCTTGTCCTTTCTTCTGAGATATATTGATCTTTTGGCTTCGGTATCATCTGCTCAGCACCGGCTCCTTGAGCTGTGGCTTGTGTGTTCGCCATCATGACTGTGATTGGTCCAGTTGTTATGACGTCGCACATCTCGTCATGTATGGAGCAGCGGAGGGCCTGCATTCTTATCTTCCAGTCATCAAATTTAGAGAGGCTAAAAGCAAGCTGCTTAGGGCAGTTAGCATGATCCTTTTCCATTTTGCAAAAAAAAAAATTTGTGCAAAGCTGAAAATATGCAAATTTTCAGAGATTTGATAAGGGATCTATCAGGCAGTAAATGCAAAGCCTTTACCGTTCAAGGTATTTGGCTCTGATACCACTTGTTGGTCCCGGTAGAGTTATAGCGAGAGTCTAGAGGGGGGGGGGGGTGAATAGACTCTTTTCGTGTTTTGCCGAAAAACAACCTTTCGGTGTTTTGGCGCAGCGGAAATGTTACGTTCGTTTACTAGCTTTGCACGAGTTTTCGTTATTAGGAAACTTTCGTGAGAGATGATATGATGTAGGAAATAAATAAAGTGAGAAGATAAGGAGACGAGAGTTTTTATAGTGGTTCGGCTAACTTTGCCTACTCCACTCTTCTTCCACAACTTATGGAAGGATTGCACTATCACTCGTTAGTACAATTACACAAAGACTTCCTTTATCACTAAGCCGGACAGCCTAGGTTTTTCAACTTCGTGAGTTTACTCCGCCTCTATCAAAATGATTTCTGATTTCTCCAACGTGATGAAGTCTTGACTGATGAGGAATGATTGCTTCGTTCAAGTTGCAAGACTTCTTTAAGGTGTAAGATGAGTATCAATGAACTTCTTCAAGTATATTTGCACCTTAACACTGGTTCACAAAAGCTTGAGAGAGCTGAGAGCGTTTAAGAGCTTTTGCTTATAGATAGATCGAGTGATAAGAACCAGCACCTTCTTAGTTGGTGAAGGTGGGTTTATATAGGTGAGAAAAAATTCATCCGTTGGAGGGAGATGAATTTTTAAACCTATTGTCCAGTGGGTAAGGACCGGGGAGCTTCCCGCATTAAATGCTCCATTAATGAGGTTATACCTTGTAGCCGTTGATGACACGGAGAGCCTTAGGGTTTTGTCCTTTAGCTTCAGGAAATAGTACATCTTCATTTAATGTTCCTTGGTATGCGTGTCCCACAAGTTGAGGTCCTTTTGTTCCTAGGATGTTGTCAAGTCAGACAGTGGAGACATTCTTCTTGCTATTGATGAGAAGGAATGTCTTGAAGGATTGTCATCAATAATACTGTCCTTTCGTGCTAAGTGATAACTCCTGGTAAACTCTCGTTGCATTTGCTTCATGCTTCGTGTCTTCTTTCGTCTTGATGACCCTAACAACTAACCATAACTCGTCTTCATGTGTTTGACTAGCTTAACACGAATTACATGTGAGTTATGGCAACTTTCGTCTAGGACGAAAGTGGCGATTGAAAGTAATAACGGTTAGGGGTCTACTTTCTAGGCTACATTGGTATCAACAAAATCCTAATACAAGTGTTCCTAACAGTTATAATATTTTAAAAATATTTAGATCGATATACAATTGTATAAATTATAACATCAAATATTATATAATATAATTGAAAAATTGAGTTGTACCGATTATGTTTTCTGATGTTATCATTGCTTGATTTCGAGCAAATAATTGCCCAATTAATAGCTAACGTGTAGATATACGCATTCGATACTGCAATTTTAGATATTTTATATATCAGTGTTTAGGATTTGTATTAATTGGGCTAATTAGCTCGTTGTCTAGCAACTCAGTTATAGAAATTATTTATACGGAAGATATATTTCTTATGTAGATATATAGCAATTTTGTCATCTTTGTATAAAAAAAACATATAAAAAAAAAAACATAATATCATTGGCTTGAATTACACATTATTGAAAATCTCTTTGTAGAAGACATTGGTAGTAATAACAGAATTTTATCCATCTTCGTCTAGAGTTAAAACCATCAGACCATCACGACGGGTGACTCGGGAAAAAAGCCACATGATAAGTGCATTTATGTCCATATTTTTACCCCTTGTATAAACATATTTTGAGTGACAAACACTTTGATTTTATGCAAAGAAGTGCCTTAATTCCTTTGTTTATATCTTTTGATGCATAAATTGTAGAGTTGCAGGCAATTGTGTGCTTTTGAGGTATTTTGGATGAATTTGGAGTCAATGAGAGCCAAATATGAAGCTATGGAGATGGATGCAACACTTCCAAAGGAGTCTAGGGTGGTTCTTTCAATGGTCTTGGTCGTGTGGGCAAATCAAAGCAAAAGAGAAGCAAGCGACCATGCAATTGCAATTCCCGACCTGCACGTTGACGTCATGGTTTTTGGACCATATATCAAGCTAAAAACATCCAAATTACATGATTCTTGTCCCATTGCAAAGAAGACTCAAAGGGCTACAACTTATATTCAGACATCAAAGCCTAAAAAGGAAGCCACAGTGGTCAAAATCATCCTTGAAGTTGAAGTTCCGAACTTACAGATTTCACCCGAAACTGACCACTGTTTGGTAATTTGATCATATCTCGGCCTAGAAATGTCCAAATACAGTGATTTTTGCTCCAATGGAAAGAAGACTCGAAGCGCTACAACTTTCATGAAGACATCGAAGCCTAATTCTGAGCATAAAGTGGTCAAAATCAGCCTACAAGTCGGAGTTGCGTTGCAGAGAAGCACTCGACGCGTCGAGAATTTTCTCGACGCGTCGAATCTGGGCAGTGAGATCGCGTTTTGCAATCTGTAAATGCTCGACGCGTCGAGAATTACTCTCGACGCATCGAGCCCCCCGTCTCTGCTCTATTTTAGCTAAGTTTTCACTCATTTTTACTCGGTTTTGAACCCCATTCGAACCCTAACTATTTTCTACTCTTTCTTTTCATATTTTAGTGTTAGATTAGGTGTAGATTTAGGTTCTTTATCATATTTCAAGCTTGTATTCAAGGAATCAACACTTGGATTCCAAGATTTACCATCCATGTCTTAGTGAGGTTTTCTTCTCCCTTTTATCTCTTTATCTTGCAATGTTTATGCTTTACATTTATGTTTTTGTGTTCTTTATGCTATTGAATCGTGAGTAGTTAGTTTATGGACTTGAGTTAGGGTTGTATTATATATCTTGATGCTTGATTTGTGATTATTGCATAAAGGGGATTTTGCCTACCTAGGGTTCTTGAGTTTATGAAGGATTTGTGTTTGTATTTTGTTAATGCTTGGTGTACAACATTCATTGACATGTGTTAGAGGATTATTGGCCTCAATGAGAGTTGGGTCAAGATTTCAAGCCACTCCTTGCATAAACCCGATTTTTCCTATGAAAATGGAAGAAATTGGGGGTTTTAGATGCTTTGTGTTCTTGAAGAACTTGGAGTTGATTCACCACGAGAGTGGGGCAATTCCTTGTTCTAATCCTAGCTAATTTGCTCATGTGAGTGACTTATAGACTAGGATTCCTACGTGCATCCCCTCTATTCCTTGGTTGTGTGATTTTCCCCAATCCTTAGGTTGTGCTATGCATCTAGATGATAATGCTCCCTAGCTTGAGTCCTATTTCTTTATTTTGTGTTTATCTTTGTGTATATGTGTTAGTCTTATCATTTCCTTAAACTTGTAGTTTGCTTAGCTTCTTGTTGATTTCCTTATGCTAGTGCCTAGTTTATTGTGATTGTATATTGCGTGCCATATCCCCCAATCCCCTGAGGACGATATAACACCCGAGCTCACATCTTATTTTTGCTACATCAAAAATTGGCGCCGTTGCCGGGGATTGGAAATTTGGTGGTTCTATGTGATTGCTTGTTTAACTAGCATTAGAGTTTAGGGAATTTTAGGAGACTAAGTTTTGTTTTTATTTGCTTATTCTTCTTGTCAAGTTTACTTCATTTGGTTTGATTGAAAGAGATTTTTGCAAGATGGACCAAGGAGGATATTATAACTCTCAATCTTATGGGGGTTATGGAGACTACATGCCTCAACAAGGACACTACAATGCCCTATCCATTAGTCCTTGTACAACTCAAACCCCTCCTCAAAATAGCTACTATGATGCTCAATTTCAAGATCCTTACCCACCACAATCCTACCAAGACTTACCTTATCATTCCCTACCTCCATACCATAATCCATATCCTCAAGAATACCAAGATCCCCAATATGCTTTTTATGATCAATACCCTCAATGTTCCCAAGACTACAATCCACCTCAACATCCTTTCCCACCACAAGATTACTCTCCAAATCCATACCCTTCACCCATTCATTACACACCATACCCCCAAGACACTCAACCATCATATGATCATCACATCCATTCACCAAGTGTTGGGAAATTTGGAGTAGATGAGGAGACCTTGGCATTAGCTAGGCGTTGGGGAGTCACTATTGTACCCGATGTTGACATTGAGGATGAAGGATATCCCATGAGACCAAGTGAGGAAGAATATGCCAATAATCAATGGGAACCTCAACAAGAATGCCAACCATTTGATCAAGATCCCGAGATGAAGTTGATGATGGCCAACATGCTTATGCAATTGAATGAGCAACAAGTTCTACTAGACAACATGATGGCTCAAATACAAGGTTTGACAACTCAAGAACCCGTTCAAGAATTGTCTTCCAATGTAGATGTTCTACAAGAGTTGCTCTTGCCAAATGAAGGTCATGTGGTTGAAGAAAATAAAAAGCGAGGTGAGGACATTGATGGTGAAGATGAAGATGATGAGGTCTATGATGAATGCATTGAGATGGAGATGCCAGGTTGGGGAGAAAACGGAGAGTTGCAAGGGAATGGTGGTAAGGAGGAATTTGAAAATGGGGGCAATGAACAACTCCAAAATCCCCCGGTAGAAGAGGAGATGTTGAAGGATATTGAGATTGATAGAATACATGAAGTGATTGAGAAAACTCCTTCAATGGATGAAAACTCCTTTGGTGAGAATTTTTCAAGAGTTTAGGAACCGGGAGGAGTCAATATTCTTGAAAGTGTAGGCCCTCATTGGCCTATATTCATATCCAAGGATTCTTACTTCCTATTGGTGCATGATGAAGATCCAAGGTTTCCATTACTTGCTCAAGAAAAGGGTAATCAAGAAGAAAATTGGAATGGAGACTTTGCGTTTGGTAAATCTCATATCTACTACCAAGAATCAATGTTTAGGAAGAAATCCTTGTTT